GATATGTACAGATTGATCATTGTGACAGATGTCAGTCTGTTTGGCTGGGAAGTACAGCTGGATCAGGGTCAGTGGACTCCTCAAGAGGTATCTCACAGTATAAACTGACTGGACTTGAGGGCGACATGTTTAGCTCTCAGAGCATTTCATCAGCAGATCTCCGGGGGCCCTGTAATGATTCTAACAGACAATGTGGCCCCAAAGGCTCACATAAATTGACAAGAGGGGACTCAGTCAAAAACTCTTATGAAGGAAGCAGAGACATTATGTCGGTGGGTGGAGACTCACCTGCTGTCCATCAGGGCTGAACATATAGCAGGGGTGAGAAATGTACAAGTGGACTGGTTGAGCAGGACCATGCAGAGTGGTGTTTGCATCCCAGACTCTTCACAGAAATGTCTCACAGATTCGATCATCCTGTTCTAGATCTATTTGCCTCTCCAGAAAACACTCACCTTCTAAGATTTTTCTCCAGGTTTCCACCCCTGGAAGCAGAAGGAGTGGATGCTCTAAGATGCCCATGGCCTAGGGGGATGCTATACGCATTTCCCCCATTGCCTCTGATCTGGCGGTAGTGGGAAGGATGCTATTGGAGAGGGCGGAAGTTCTATTAGTGGCTCCCCATTGGCCAAGGCAACCTTGGTTCGCTGATCTAGTCAGCCTATCAGTGGCCAGACCATGGATCATTCCTCCAGAGAAGATTTTTCTCAGCCAGGGACCCATGCAACATCCAGAGCCCCAGTAGTTATGCTTGACTGTTTGGCAATTGAGCGGAAGCTGCTAAAATCTGAAAGATTATCTAATAAGGTCATTAATACCATTCAGGCAGCAAGAAAACCTTCTACCATCCGCATTTATAATGCAACATAGAGGGTATTTAGTATCTGGTGTCAGGAGAGAAAAAAAGATTCTACATTGGCCTCAGTGGTGGAGGTACTGGAATTTCTGCAGGAGGGTTTGGAGGAAGGACTTCTTCAAAAACATTCTGCAGACGAGTAGCAGCATTAACATTGGTGATTACTGTAGGTGTTGGTTTGTTAGCTCACCATTCTAGAGTGAAGACCTTTCTCAAAGGACCTTCTAATTTGAGGCTACCTACGATACACTGTTATCCTACCTGGGATTTGCCTGAAGTATTACAGGCACTTACCATGACACCTTTTGAACCTTTGAGGGAGGCTAGTCTTCACCTCCTCTTGTGCAAGGTATCATTTTAGTGGCTATCACGTCTGCTAGACGGATATCAGAGAGAGCAGCATTGAGAAAGGATCTCTGTGTGTTTCATGCGAACAGGGTGGTCCTGCGGATGGACCCTGCCTTTTTGCCCAAGGTTAACTCATTGTTTCACCAAGCACAGGAGTTAATACAGTGTTTCCCTGAAAATAAGGCAGGGACTTATTTTCTTTTGACCCACAAAATATGGCTTGGGCCTTATTATCAGGGGAGGGCTTATTGTTTTGGGGTTGCTGGGTGGCTGCTCTCTTGCAAGCGGGCTCCCAAAGAGCCGGGCACAGCCTCGGGAGCGAATGGCTGTGTTGTGCTGTCGTTCTGTACGCTCTGGGAGTACGCTCTGCTGGCAGCTGGCTCACAACGAGCGTACTCCCAGAGTGGCCACTGCCGGAAGATTCTGCAGCCTACCTGCGTGCTTTGGAAGCTGCAGTAAAAGCCATGCTGGGATGGCAGTGCCGCCGCCGCTCTGGCTCTGCAGGGAGAGTTGGGCCAGGGCATTGTGAGGCTGGGAGGCACGTGAGCGGGGAGCGGAACAGCCGCTCATGCAACTCCTCTCCAGCAGTGCAGAGCACCATTCACTGGCATTCCAAAAGCGCCAAGCCGCAGGAGCTGGGAGGCAGCGAACAGGTGCTCACGCAGCTTGGCGATACCCTAGGTCAGTGAATGGTGCTATGCTCGGATGGAAAGGGGGTTTGCTGGGTGGCGGCAATGTGTGTGGTCACCTCATGGCTGCTGTGTTGTGCTGCTGCGACAGCACAACACAGCCATTCACTCCTGAGGCTGTGCCCAGCTCTTTGGGAGCCCGCTCGCAAGAGGAACCGTCTGGCATCCCCCCTCTACAGCTGGGCACAGCACCACTAACCGACCTAGCGGTATCCTAAAGGCGCCAAGCAATGTGAGCACCTTTCCCCCCTGGTTCCTGCGGCTTGGCGCCTTTGGGATACCACTAAGTCAGTGCCTGGCCAGAGGGGGGGGGGGGTTGTCCAAGGGGCTTATTTTCAGAGGAGGGCTTACATTTTTGCCCACCTGAAAAATGTTCAATAATGATTTACCAATGGGAACAGCACCACCTATTGGTTTCTTTATGCTCCAATTAGCAGTATGGAAAATCCAAAATGTGAATTCTCATTATAGCCAAATAAGAAACATTAATATTTGAAAATCCATTCATTTTGCAGCATACATCCTCTTTGTCCTGAATTTAGGACATCAGCTTGAAGGCATATATGGCAATGATTGAATATTTTTAGTCAAAAATATTTATACCCCCAAACTCATTAGAAGTAAGCAGCATTGTTTTGAACATTATGCTTGCACCAACTCTACCATAAAAAAACCAATTTATTTCATAGCTAAAAGATGTGACAATAAGAAATTCTAACATACTATATTTCTGGTGCAAGATGGGAGACCGTTTCTGCCTAAGCTTAGGCAGCTCTAAATCTCCTTTTAGGGAAACAGATTTTTTTCACAGAAATAGATTTACCTTGTCAAAGGTATGTCTCCCTCAAGTCAAGTTCCTCTCCAGGTAATTACAAATCTAAATCCAATCCATGATATTATCTAGCTATTAATATATTATGTTGATAGTTGTAGAGCTTTGCTGACACTCATAACCTAGCCTACAGCTTTGGGAATTTGAATTAAATCTTTCATCCAAGTACTAACCAGTCTGACTCAATTTTCAAGATAATTCAAGGCTGGGCAGCTGCTACTCTTTGATGATGCCTTGATTTACCATGATCTGAAGATTCATATGGACAGATATTATTATCATGAGGTCATGAGTCATGAGTTCTTGTCATAAGTATTCTTTCTATAAAAGTTCCTATAGCAATTCATCTGAAATTAGAACTTTTCACCTTGAAAACACTTCTCTTTTCCTTCAAAGACTTCCTTCAAAGCACATTGGAAGGAACTAGAAAATTAACTACCCTAAATTTCAAAATGTAATATTTAACAAGTCTTAGTCTGAAATCTGTGAACAATTTAAAACTATGTTGTGGCCAACTCACTTTTGATAACTTCTTTGCTTTGCTTTTGACCTCTTATTTGGAATTCCTAGTTTTGTAAGAGCTGTATTTCCATTTGGAAAAAAATTAAAGACATGTACAATTTAAACTTAATTTAAGCTAAACTTAAGTTTAGCACTGCATCATGTGAAAAGCCATTATGATTTATTCAACCAACACAATTAAAACAAGTCACTTAGTCTGCATGAAATCACAATAGAATGGAACACCATAGCTACTAAATTCAGCTTATTGCACTATGTGCAGCATCAGAAATATATAAAAATGCTTTCCAAAGTTACATGGGCATAATTGAAGGCAAAGGTAAAGCTATAAATCAATTGACTTATAGTACCTTCATATTGTATCTAATTACATTATTTAAAAGTCACTCCTAAAAAATAGAGCCTTTGTCATCCTAGCTGGATCATAAATTTCATTTTAAAGTACAGATGCAAATAGATAAATGTACATATTTTAAAAATGTGTGCAAATTAATCTAAGTAATAGCATGAAATGTAGAAGGGTAAGCATCAAGGCTGACAGTGTTTGATGTATACAAATCTTGCAACCATCCTTGAATTAAAACATTCTAATCAACATATAAACTTTAAAAATAGCTCAGATGTCAGTAGCTATGATTATCTTAGGAAATGTGTGAAAAATTGATGGTTTGGAACAAATTTTTTAATATTTCATGCTGCCTGGAAAACTTCACAAAAAAGCAATCTAGAAACCAGTCTAAACCAGTTGGGGGGGGAATCTAATTTTAAATAATTACATTGCTCAATCCCTAAATGCATTTATACAGAGACAAAGATAGTAGTTTGCTGAATAAACCACAAGATTTAATTGTATATTTTTCCTAAGCAGACAGAATATGTATATGCAAGCTCAGGTTTTACATGCAACAGAGTGGCAGCTGGACTTCACAGGATAACAGCATCAGGTTGATAATGACAGCTGGCAGCCTAGATTTTCCTCATACTTTCTGGTTGATACATTTCATATTTTTGTTGTTTGCATCAGGTTGATAGAAACAGTAGGTTAGGAACATATATAATCTTCGACATGATCCTATGATTTTCACATTATCTAAATTGCTTTTTGAAAATCTTTAATGTAAACAGGAAATATGTGGTCACCTTTCTTGCCACCAGATGGATAGCCCCTTCCATAACAAATTACAAGGCGTGGTGTACGAGTTCTTATAACGCTAAATGAACTATCAATGGAAGATAATCTGCATTTTATCAGTGACCGTTTTTAAACGGCTACTTATAAATCAGCACTAATTTCTTCCGTTTTACTTCCTTGGGCTTCAATCTTTACTCGTTCGTTGTTCCGGAGTCCAGGCGCACGCAGTCCTTTAGGGTTACTACACTCTCCTCCGTCTGATTTAACTACAACACGTTTATGAGCCTTGAAGGGACCCAAAAATTCTTCATGCAGTTATAGACGGTACCAAGGCCTCCCCTGTAGAAAACATATGAGTGACACAGGCCCCGCCCCCAACGGCACCATCGCGTCCACTTACAAGACATCACACGTTCACTACGTCATCTCCATCCGGCCTAGTTTACCTTGGCAACTTTAAGACCTGTGGACTTCAACTCCCAGTTTTGCTGGCTGAGGAACTCTGGGAGTTGAAGTCCACAGGTCTTAAAGTTGCCAAGGTTGGAGACCACTGGTTTAAGGGACTCTGGGTTTTTCGGGAGGAGCTTCGGGAGGCCGAAACGTCGCTGGCGACGGCGTGTCGCGTGACTGTCCGTCGAATGACGTAGGAGGAGGAAGAAGAAGACGCCATTAGAAAAGAGGCTGAGCGAGACACCCCGGTGCGGGAGGAGGGTGGCTCGGAGTTCCTCTCTCCTTTCCGCCCCGCTTCCGTCTCTCCTGTGGTTCGCTTCCCCTGGCGGTCTTCCTCCGCGCGGCCTCCTTTCCTCCTCCCCTACCCCCCGCTCCCCTTTTACGGTTCTCTTGGACTCTGCTCGGCGTCCCGTATCAGAGCGGAGCAGGCTTGGGCGGTTTGCCGATGTGAGGCCGCGGGAGCGGCGGCCACTTCGCTGCGGATGGCGACGGCAGCGGCCACTTCGGGCGCGGTAGGCGGCGGCGCTGCTGCTGTTGCTGCCGCTGGCGGGCGAAGTTTCTCCTTCAAGGTGGTCCTGCTCGGGGAAGGCTGCGTGGGGAAGACCTCTCTGGTCCTCCGTTACTGTGAGAACAAGTTCAATGACAAGCATATCACCACTCTGCAGGTAGGCCGGGAGGCTGCAGGAGGCCGCTCGCCAGCTTCGGGCAGGGGTGAAACTCGGCTTCATTAAGATGGGCTCGTTTCTCCTATCGCACTCGGTCCTTTTGAAGAGGGGACGGCAGTAGGTCCCCGAGCTGCTCCCCCCCAGTCCCCTAATCCGAACAGCGAGAGATTGAAGCGCTTCGAAATTTCCAGCCCGGACCACGCACTCTTTCCAGAAAAGTAGCCATTAATGTTTATCAAACCCACCTTTATTGGAGATAAATAAAATTGATTGTGTCAGATAACATGGAAACCCAAAACAGGTAGTAGGAAAAGCTGAAAAAAATAGGTAACATCGGTTCTAGTTTACGAATGCTATAGTAAACTGACTACCGTTTCTCTGGAATTTGAACATATTGGGTATTTTAATGTATGCATAAACCAAAGCCTGCTCAATGTTCTGATTTTCACCCCTAGTATTGTTTCATAAGTAAGTCCCTATGTATAGGTTTACTACTGTAGAAGCCCAAACTTTAGAAGGACGGTATCATTAAAATAGTTGTTGCATAAAGAGTTTTGCAAACTGATATTTCTGAAACACTGTAATTCTTGAATTAAGATAGAAATGATAGGTATTGAGAATAGAAGTAAATTGAAGTGGCTGTGTGGCCTTCTTGCTGTTTAGAACTACAGTATGCAATGTTAGATCAGCAGGAATTAATAAAACGTAATTGTAGAAATTATTTTGTTTTTCAAAATTGCAGAAATCTCTAAAACAGCTTGGTTGTTTATTATTTTTTCTTTCAAGAATTTCACATGATTATCAGATGTTCTGGATAAAAATGATCATACCCTGTAATTATATTTCTCTGACATTAACAAGACTTAAAAAAAACATGTTTATCTATTTACTTTCCACTGACCACTATGCAAACTAGTTAGTAAACATGCTGATTTATATATAGTAAAATCTTAAATGGTTCTGTAATTTGAAACTCTTGTTGATACAATTCATTTGCTTTGCCCATACTTTTTAGAGAATAGTAATGGAATAGTTTGTCAGATCCAGTGTATAGTCACATGCAGGACTGAAATAGACTCCGAATAATTCAGATTACAGAAGGATATATTTGTAATGATGTCTCTCCAAGGATACAAATAAGACCATCAAAGGAAGCTGAGTTTCCATAAACATCTATAACTAAACGATTAAGTTTAACTTTCATTATCAGCTGTTAGAGTCCACCTGATTCTTCAAAGTAATAGATTTCTTCCATACCAAAATTCTATGTTCCATCTAAATGTCTGTTTAACATGGCTTTAAGGATAATTATATTGAGTTTATTAATTACAATACAGTACAGCAGTGCTGAGCCTTTTGCTTTCTAAAACAAACATGCAAGAGAATATATTACATCTTTGCAAACAATTATTGCAATTGTTTCTGTCTACAGTACAGAAAAACACTATTCCCATTATATTATGTTCATTAATAAATCACAGGTTTATTTCTTAGTATATATAGTATACCAGTACTTTTTTTTAAATAAAGAGTTTAAACAAATCTGCTAGACTTGTTAGGTAGATTCTTGGGATTTCCCTTTTATCAATATTAGTTGAGTGAATAGAAACTTTATGCACTTGCATGTTAGAATTGTTCTCTTGTGCTAATGACCACTGTAGTGGGAACCTAGCGGTCTGCAGCTAAGAATTAGTTACTGGAAGGCAATCCATGCTGGATATGATACTAGTTAAGGACTTCTTTTAAAATTCAAAATTTTAATTGTAACTTCCTCTAAAGATTAAATTTGTTGTTCTTTAACATCCTGCTCTTTCTCAAAGAAACCCCAGGAGATTTACATAATTCTTTGTTTCCATTCCACACCAGTTTTATTGCAACACTCCTACAAAACAAGTTATGTCTTAAAGCAGTCAGTTTTATTTTGTTTTTTTTAAAAAAAACTACTGTAATATAATCTAAAATGCAGTATTCTACAGTTCTATAAATCTATAAACAGATTATTTTACACAGTGATTAATTAACCTGTTATGAAATTGGTTATGAAGGTAGTGCTTGGCTTATAAGAGTTCATTTAGTGACTCTTCAAATTTACAACGACACTTTAAAAAGTGATTTGCGACTGTTTTTCACACAACTATTGCAGTATTCCCATGGTCACAGGATTAAAATTCAGATATTTGGCAACTGGTCCATGTTTATGATGGTTGTGATCACCTTTTGTAACTTTCTGACAAGCAAAGTCAATGGGGAAGCCAGTTTCACTTAACAGCACTGTTATTATTTTAACAATTGTAATGATTCACTTAATAACTGTGGCAAGAAAGGATATAAAATGAAGCAAATTCACTTAACTGTCTTACTTAGCAATTTAAATTTGGGTCTCATTTGTAATCATAAGTGAAGGACTACCGGCAATATGCTTAATGTAAATTGAGAGTAAATAAATTGATAAGATTCAATGTACTGGTGATTGAAACAAAGTTAATTTCTTAGATTTAAGACATTTTACATTCCTTTGAAGTGCCATCTAGAATATATTAGATTTCTCAGAATTGCTTTATTATAAACTGAAAAAAGATGTCCATCTTTATTCATTTAAATGCCTCAGACCAATAATGCGTTGCAAGCATTTGCCTTCTGATGTTAAAGAAAGAAGAGCGAACAAGAGGTTGGAGGATCTCATAATTAAAAGTTTTTCAAGCAGTCTGTTATCTGCCATTCATTTTATTGTTGGTTTGACATTGGTGTTGGGATAGGCAGGAGGTTCTCTTGTTGAGGAAATATCTTTACTTATGTCCCTTTTCTAAAATAATATGAACGCTTTGTTCCAAATCAGATTGATAGGCTGTTGTCTGATTAAATTGGGTTTAATCAGGTAGCCAGTTTTTATATCTTACAAAATCTGATTCAGAATGTTAAACTAATGAAACATTTCCCAGTTTTGAAATATCAGTTTATTCAAAGTTTGTTTTATTACTGTATAAACATGAAGTTTGAATACATTAAAGGTGACTCAAGGCAGTATATAGAATCAGTTAAAACACAATGTAACAATAAAAGAATTGAAAATAGTGTGGTATTTACAGTATTTACAGAACTTCAGATATGATCTCCAAAATGTTATTTAGAACAGAAGTAGTGTTCTCTGCAACACCTTAAAGCAACCACATCTTTTTCTGAGAAAGGGAGCTTGAAGGCAATTGTGCAATAATAGAAAAGAGTGAGATGTTTTAAGATGCTGCAAGTAGTGTTTTATTTGCGTTCCTTCATACTTCAAGGCATCTTTTGGAGTTTGAATCCAATATGCAGCACAGTCGTATTCACTGGAAGAAAGGTTTTATTCAGGAGTCTTTATTTCTTCTCCATTATCCAAAAGAAGAAGTACAAAATAGAGTTTGCAACACCATTATATGCATCACAGATAACAATAGCTCTTTCACTGTGTTGAAATTTCTTGAAGTATTTCTCTGAACTAATCCATAATTTTGCCAAAAACAGAAAATTTAATTGCCCAATTAATATTTTTCCCCCCGGTCTTCATTTCCACAATAGACTTTCTTATAAATAACGTTGTACAAATTGAAGAAAAGGAATAAAAAGTCATTAGTCAAAACTATAATATTGAAATAAATTAAAGGAATTGATGAAATCTGATTAAATACGAGAAAAATATAGGTAATTCTAACACCATTCAGATCCATTTTTTTATTCTTGCAAAGTATCATTTCTTCTACATCTATATATTAGTCATATTTTTATATAAATTAATATGACATGGGGTTGTTTTACTTTTATATTTACAAACCTCATTGAAATATTAGTATGAATTAGCAATCTAGGCATTAATTTTATGAGTGTTTTTCCACTTGCAGGCATCTTTTCTGACCAAGAAGCTAAATATTGGAGGAAAAAGAGTAAACCTTGCAATATGGGTAAGTGCTGTAATCATGTTGTCATATACTGCATTTAAATATCAAACTTTACTTAGGAAAACAATTTACTTTTTGAGTAGATTAAATAAGATCAGTATTTTTGTATCATGCAGGATACAGCTGGACAAGAAAGATTTCATGCACTAGGTCCTATTTACTACAGAGACTCTAATGGAGCTATTTTAGTTTATGATATAACAGATGAAGATTCTTTTCAAAAGGTAACTATACCATTTCCCTGTATCAAATAAGCAACCACAGGAAGTACATTTTTTTTCAAATTAAATTGCACTCATATTTTAGAAATAAGCTGATGGATAAACTTATCTCATTGGTATCTAAGTGGTATCAAGTGGTATCTAAATGGACATGCCCTGGAGGAATAGCATTAACTAGTGAAATAGTGCTCCTGGATTTCACTGCATGATTCTGAATGTATGCTGAAGGTTGTATTGGAGAAAAGGTGCAAAGGAAGTTCCATTTTATAAATAGAATATGCCTATGTGTCAGTAATAGACCTAAAATCATTTTTAATGTACAATCCAGAAGTAAGTTCCATTAAATTAAATTCAGTAGGATTCACTTCCAATAAAGTGAACAATACAACCAATTTCATTGTAGTTAAGTACAATGGCAATAAAGATTATGCTTATACTTATAAAGCAGTTATAGGATGGCAATTCTTGTGAAGACAATGAAAAGAGACTGGGATTTCTGATTAGTAATTTTAAAACAACTTTAAAAATTTAAAAACTGTAATATTGAAATACATTTTCTTGTTACTTTCATAGGTAAAAAACTGGGTAAAGGAATTAAGAAAAATGTTGGGAAATGAAATTTGCCTATGCATAGTTGGTAAGATTTGGGTTTTTACATCTTAGTTTTCATTTTTAGTGGAATGTTGCATTTAAATGATTGTATAAAACCTATAAGTGCTTTTAAAAAACCATTTAATTTTGGTACTCATTGGCTTCAGTAAGAAAAATACTATTTGAGGATTGTAAAAGTAAACAGAAGGAAAAAATGGAAAGCAGAATGGCAGTAGCAAGAATATGAGAAAGGTTTTTGAGAAATTTCTGAATGTTTTTATATCCTTATTAGAGTTCTGACTCCATTTAGTTCTACACTAGATAATCTTTGTGAACAAGTTAATATAAAATTGCTTTAGAAAATAAGATTGAAAGGTTTCCTCCAAACTATACAAATTACTTGCCATTTTAGGAAGTTCTTTGGTATCTCAAATTAAGTTTAGCTGCAACTTATGTGTTTGAAATAACCGAAGCTTCCTGTTTAATTATACAAGAGAAATGTCTTTTAGAGATTAACCAAAGATTTCAGGATGGAGCAGGATTCTATCATGCTATTTAATACTTTCATGGTGAAGAATTACAAAAATGTTTCAGTGTGTTCTTTTGTATTCTTGCTGCTTAAGTTATAGTCTTGATAATGTGAAGTTGAGTTTGACAATTCTGGATACCTGAATGGATACAGATGTAGAAGAGTAAATGCCACTCATGCTAGAAACAATGAATACTAGAAGTCAGTTAGAAACATATTGTTGATATTAAGCAGATTGTATCTTCCTGATTTATTTTGTATATTAATGGAATCTGAATTCTTGATAGGTAACAAGATAGATTTGGAGAAGGAAAGACATGTGTCTATTCAAGAAGCAGAATCGTAAGTTTTTGACTCTTAATTTCAATACTACTTTGACGATGCCATCACATATAGAGCATACAGTAATCCTCATTTAGCAATTATTTAGACAGCAACCGATCACAGTTAAAACAGTGATGAAATAGTAACTTTGTGACCAGTGCCCTTGCAGCATCTCTCTCTCACATGTTCATCATCACAATCCGTAACCTGTTGTCCTGTGCCTGACCTGATTTCCCCCCCCCCTTCAAAAAAAAAAGGCTGGAGAGATTGCCTAAAGGTGATATTGTCCTGAGTTGCATTTCTCTGCTGCACAGCTTATTCCTAAAAAGGCTTCAGCCACAAGTTAAGAAACCTAGCTTTGTGGTTTTAATTAGTTGATTAGAATGTTGGGTGAGCTTGCAGTTACTGCCTAAAATTGACAAGACCCTAATTAGTTTTACTCTAAAGGATTTAGTTTGCTTCCTAAATAGCATTTTAAGTAAACAATTAGCAGTAGCACATTTCTTTCACTGTGTACTTCCCATTGAGTACCTTATGACGCTCTTATAGTCCCTCCCTCTCCAAAGAATGTAAATACAAAAATAAATTCTGCTAAGTAAATTCTGCTAAGTCACTGGGGTGACTATTCAAAAGGATATCAGGGTGGGGAAAAGGACTATAAGAAATATCCTTTTGTCCAAGTTCTTCACAAGTTGAATTCTAGAAAGCTTCCCTACTGTTTGGCCTCATCTGGCTGTTTGTGGTTATATCCTTCAGACAATCTCATTTATTTTGGCCATGTCATGTGGGGGAATTCACTTATGTTAGGAAGAGTTAGCAGTAAAAAAGAAATCAGTCCTCCAAAAAACACAGTGGATGGACACCATCAAAGCTGACACCAGTCAGAACACAGCAATTCAAAGAAGTAGTGCAAGATTGGCAGATATAGAGAGAACTGGCTCATAGAATCACCAAGATTCTGACATGACTGAATGGATTACATCATCATCATCATCAACCTTCTCTTTCTGACATTTTAAAGCACAGGAGAGGAAAGTGAAGTAAACTTGCAAAGCCAATCATGGTCATGTGATTTTTCACTTAGTGACTGCTTTGCTTAACAATGAGTTGCCAGTCCCAATTATAATTGATAAATGAGGACTACCTGTATACATATTTAAATAATGAAGTATTAAAACATTCTGTGCAATTAGTGTACTTAAAAACTACCTTTACTGCCTCAATTCTGCTGTTAATATTATTTTTCTAGTTAATTTAAATAGTCTGTATTCAGATCCAAATATATTATGATCAATGACCAGATGCAACTACAATTCAGCCACAATTTACAGGGAGGAAAACTATGGGATATTTTTGCTGTGAATTAGATGTATTAAAATTTACACTGTATAATTTACTTACGATATAGAAAATGCATGCAATTGTAATTTTCAGTCACAAGATAAGGCATTTTTTCTTGCAGATACGCAGAATCAGTGGGAGCAAAACACTATCATACATCTGCCAAACAGAACAAAGGAATAGAAGAACTCTTTCTTGATTTGTGTAAACGTAGGTTTGTCTAATGTATGGGTTAATGTTTCTGTTATGAAAGCAAATGCCTCTTGAATGATGAGCTATTGTTTTATATCCAGTTTTATTTGCACTAGATTTAAGCTATGTAAGACAATTTGCATTACAAATTTCTAATTTTTTAAATTAACATTCTTAACATAAACAATTAACAAATCAATATTTAAACTTAAGGAAAAATAATTATAGAAACCAAAACCCAAAGAGAAAAGAAACAACTCCATACAAACTAAGAATGAAAAGAAAAAAAAAACTTTATATTTTATACTTAACACGTCACTCATTGTTAATAAATACACTATTGTAAATAAACTACATAACATTATCATAAAATATCATAAACTTTCTGCCATAGTAACGCATATAGCTGCATTCTTTGATTAATAGAAAATATTATGTTTTCCAAAGGCAATCATACATTCCTCACAACCATTCCTTAACATTTGGAATAATACCACATTTCCAGTTTTTTCAATAAGATACTTTTAGCCACTTCCCATTCTTTTTTTTAAATAGTCTTTATTGGTTATACATTTTTAATAAAACATACCAATACAGCTTTAAACATACAAACCCTCCCCTCCCCCCCCAGTTATTCACAACCCAATGTTTTTAGTCTCTAACCAGCATCTTCTTGTTACAAAATTGCACTTCCCATTCTTGATATAACCATAATTCCTGATCAACAGATTCCAAAGTCTTGATATTTTGTAATTTTATTTAAGCACATTAATGCAGAACCTTCTGTCCACATTAGTATTCCGACATCACAAAGTGGTTATTAACTCTGAATATTTTAAAAGTAGTAATGTCATTGAATGTTAAAATAATGTTACTATTTAAAATTGAACTGCAAGCATTTATAAACTAATCTCATATATTTGTTATGTTATGTTCCGTTATATTCCGTTACATTACATTACATGGGGATAGATAAAATAGTTCCTTGCTTAACTGTTGAGAATATTTGTATCTTCAGCAAAATGCATGTGCATTTTAAAAGATTTTAAAGGTACTGAATATTAATATAATTGGTTATGCCATTTTGACTTACTAAGTATTTCATACAGTATTATAAAAAATGTAGCTAAGGTTTTTTTTGACCAGAACAATATATGGTGGGAGCTAATTTGTTTTGCAGCCTGTCATCATTCTGTTTACTATTTCTGTTCCTGTATTTTAAGTCAGGGGAGTGAGTTTGGTGGCTGCTGAGGAGATACTTAGGGGCTTATCTATAGTTGCAGGTATTCCATTGTCTGTTCCTGTTCAAGATTATTTCTATTTATAGGATTAATGATCCCATCTAAATGGCATATTTTTCCTATTTTCGTCTTTGTTTTCTACAGTAGTACAGGGTGAGGATAGTAGATTGAGCGGTAATTGTGAGAAAGACAATTGTAGATCAGGAATGGAACTACTTATTTGATTAAGGCTCATAATTTGTAGCATGAAGCCATGCTTCCAGTAGCATGCACTTTGATTACTGGCTGCTATCCATCTTGGAACATGTGTTGGGATACTGTATAGAGAGGCAGAAATCACAGTTCTGCTAAAAAATGGACAAAATATAAGCTTAACCTGCTAAATTGACGCTTGACGTGTGATGTCATTTAAGGTATAGCCTCTTAATTCCATAAGAGAAGATGATGATTCAGTTCTTGCTTATTTCTACTGAAATGTTAATGCCTGATATGTAAACCTAGGACAGAAAAAATACATATGACAGTAATATAAGGCTTCAAAATACAGTTCTGCAGAAGTTAAATCTAGTTAAATAATAAGCATTTCAAAAGAATGGCAGGGATGAGATACTGGCAATGCTGACATTTAAACTATAATATAGTTTATGGACCATAAATTGTTTTGTGGTGTTGCAGCTGTTCCTTCTTATTTTGCAGTAACCACATAGGAAGATGCACCAGGGAAATTGAAGACTACTGCTTATTACTAATACTGTGCATGCCCATTTATTAGCCGCATCAGAGTTCAGGAATCTCTTGGATACAGAAATATGGTGGTACCCATTAGCTAATGGGTTGCTGTAGAATAATCTGGGATGGTAATCACTGAAATAGAATGGTTATTACCTTGAAAAGTGATAAGCTCTCTGTAACAGTGACATATTCAAATTGATGTTAGATACTTATCTTTGCTATTTGATTCTTTGAAGACCATTTGTCTCTAATTTTAGTTCAGTAATACATGTGGGGTTTCAGATAATATTGGGCATTTTAAATTATGTTCTGTTTATAAATTAACTTATAAGTAATTTGTGTTTAAAGAATCTTTTACAAAATTTGCATATGTTACATTTGTATAAAATATGAGTTGCTTTTATGCTCAATGATTAGAAATTATCTAATGTAACACAATATTTTTGTATTGTAGGAATGATAGAAACTGCGCAAGTTGATGAGAGAGCACGAGGAAATGGTTCTAGTCAATCAGGAGCTGCAAGGCGGGGAGTACAAATAATTGATGATGAGCCAGCAGCTCAGAGTAGTGGAGGTTGCTGCTCCTCTGGATAATTGTACAAGAGACTGGGCTTCTTGCCCTTTAGTGAAGACTGCCACATTCAGAGTCTCATTCTTTCAGCGGAGAATTGGAATTAACAGTATTTAAAATCATTTGTAACAATTCAATACCATTAAGTGCTAAACTAGTGGAGTATGTGACCAGAGAATTGGCATTTTCTACAGTGATTAACAAAGCAAACCAATGGCCTTTTTACATATTTCTTTAATAATGAATAATATTGCATGTGAGAAGGACTTATGGCTTCATTTATATTTTAAATGAGATCATTATTTAATAACTTATACACCTTATTGGAATTAGACATTTTTGCAGCTCTTTGTATTTTGTGGTAGATCAAGCTGTATCTCTTCACAATTGCAAATCCATTTCTTTTTAATTAGCAGATATCTGGATACTATTTTTGCAGGGGTACCACTGATATATAACTGCTTGACTACTTTGATATATTCATCTTGTACTCCATGCTGGTAAAATAAATAATAAATTACACATTAAATATTTTATCTGCTTTTATAAGTGCAGGTGCAGAAATATGTACACAAGTCTTGTCAGTGATTGTGAGGTGAAAAACGGTGGGAAGATACAAGTTCTATTACTGCTGACTTTCTCTTTGATAGATTATGATAATTAGTTTTCCTTGCTCTAAACTTTACATACGTTTCTAAATATTTTTCTAGCAGCTATTGATCTATAACACTCTCAGTCCAAAAAATCTAGTTGGAATGTTGTGAACTGTTAATGTTTCTTTTTACTAATATAAGTTTGACATGGGTACAATACTCCTTATAACACACAAAAATTATATCTGTGAATAGGCCTTTTTTATTTGATCATCTCTAAGAAAGACCTGCTCATGAAGCTTCACTTGTCTTTATATTCTTGCTTCCTTATATATAGTGTTAAAAATGGAAATTAAAATAACTTGGCTGTGACACATAAAAATCCATTAAAATGGACATGAATTATTGAACTTTGAACAATTATTGAACTTTAAATCCAGTTTTTGAGAGCTTCGTTATTAAGTATGTCTAAGGTATTTTCTGAAAAAAAGAAAGAAATACAGGAATCATACCTGAAAGTATTTTTGTTTCAGAATAACATTGATACTGTTGAGTTCCTGAAGGAAATTCCACGTGGTTATTTGGTAAATGGGAGTATTTTGGCATGGAACATACATGATTTTGCTTCTAGAAATTTACTTGTTTTATTCTCACTTCACTTCACTTCAGATGGCTTGAATTTTCAGTACTATGATGAATATAATGAATATGCAAGCTCAAACAATGAACACTGGGAATTAGATACACATCCCATAAAGGTCACTTTCCAGATACTGACACAGACCCTTTAAGAGTGGCATTTTAGAAAACACTGCATGCATTTATAATACTATTAAAGTTTATGTACAAAAATCAGTGGAAGTCAACAGGAAGAAATTAACTGTCACAGATAGCTGGGTAAATATATACATTATACTCTGTACCTTAACCCCTACTGAAACTGTAAATTAAATGATTTGTTAAAATACATATGTTCAAATAGCTTGGTTACTGTGACTTCTACCATGTGCTGCTGTATGCTACCCTATATTCATTAAATATATTTAGTATCTTCTTTTTACAGCTATTTGTCTGAACTGTGTTTGACATAGAGAATTTTGAGTATCTGTTCAAAGGCAAAAACAATACTTTTACTTATTTTAGAAATAATGGTTTCATTTTTCATATTCATGACTCTAAAAATAATCCTTGGGTTTCCCCCCCTACCTTGTTAAATATTGTCTTGGAATGAACCTTGGTGCATTATTGTAAAATAGGTCGTTGGATGATTCAGAGAGCATCCACTTATAAAATTCTTTAGTAAGTGAGCAGGATATTGCTGAAGTTTGAGGGGAGTTCCAGATTAAAATTGGTACCATTATCCTAGACAATAACACAATTTATGTAATGGAAATACTCTGGTTATACTTCTAAGTTGCTTAATTCATATTCCTCCTGATTCAATATGTGATAACATGTTTTTTCTAGAAAAAACACTATAGAAAGCTTTATAGAAAGAGACACAAAAAGTGAAAATAGGCCTTTTGCCAATTAGTCTTTGTAAAGCAGCAGATACTGCTTACCAATAGAAGCAAGCTGCAAGTTTACTTCTAAAAATCTTACTAGAGAATCATCTTTGAAACACAATCTACTTGGCATTCATGACCTAATTGTTTTTTATTTATTCAATTTCTATCTTTTATAGTGGCCATTTACGCATGCTTTTGAAGTATACAACTTTTAAGGCTATGATTTCTTTTACCTTTAAATCCACGATCCCTTATTTATGTTTCTGATATATGTGTAAGCTGGAAGACTAATGGAAGAATTTTGTATATTAGTAAACAGATTTTACTGATATGTTAACTTTTCAATGGTTTTATAATTTATGTAGTGGATGCTATAGTCTTGAAAAAAGAATACACCCTCTTGTGAGTTCTATGGTTTTAGATATCAGGATATAGTAAAAAACATTTACCTAAAAGTAGGTAAATTCATCTTCAGATGTGCAACAACACATGACTTGTTACACAATGTCATCTATTTTATAAAAAGAAAACCAAAATGAAAAGGGCATGTGTGAAAAACTAAGTACATTTTATGATTCAATAACTTGTAGATCCACTTTTAGCAGCAACAACTTGGAAGTAATCATTTTCTGTATGTCTTTCACATAATTGTGGAGGAAGTTTGGCCCAAACTTCTTTACAACATTGCTTCAGTTCATTGAAGTTTGTGGGCATTTGCTTATGCACAGTTTTCTTGAGGTCCCACCACAGCATTTCAAGTGGGTTGAGCTCTGGACTTTGAGCCTTTGCAACACATTGATTCTTTTCTTTTTCAGCCATTTTGTTCTAGATTTGCTGGTGCGCTTGGAATCATTGTCCTCCTGCATGACCCAAGGTCGGTTTAGCTGTCAGGCAGGTGGCCTCACATGTAACTTTAGAATACTTTGGTATACAGAGGAGTTAATGGTCGACTCAATAACTGCAAGATGCCCAGATCCTGTGGCTGCAAAACAAGTCCAAATCATCCACCATCCACTTTTGCTTGACAGTTGGTATGAGATGTTTGTGCTGATACACTGTGTTTGGTTTTCACCAAACATGGCATTGTACATTATGGCCATACATCTCCATATTGGTCTCATCTGTTCAAAGGACAGTGTTCCAGAAGTCTTGTGATTTGTTCAGATGCAGCTTAGCAAACCTAAGCCTTGCTGTCATGTTAGTTTTAGAAGAGGTTTTCTCCTGGCAACCCTTCCAAACAAATCATACTTGTTTAGTTTTTTTCTAATTGTACTGTCATGAACTTCAACATTTAACATGCTAACTGGTGCCTGTAAAGTCAGCTGTAACACTTGGTTTTTTTTTGCAATTTCTATGAGCATTTTTTGCAATTTCTATGAGCATTGCCCAGTCTGACCGTGAAGTTTTTGGGATATCCACTCCTGGGAAGATTGGCAACTGTCTTCATTGTTTTCCACTTGTGAATAATCTTTGTCACTGTAAAATGATGGACTTTAAATTCTTTGGAAATGATCTTATAACCCTTCCCAGATTGACATGCAGCAACAATTGCTTCTCTAAGATCATTGCTGATGTCTCATCTTTGGCATTGTGTTAATACACAATGCTGGAGACCAGCAAACTCCTAAAACTTCAGCTTTCATAGAGGTAGTCGCACTTGCTGATGATCAATTGATCAAGGGCACTTGATTAGCAACACCTGGCTATTTAATTTCTTATCTATGGAAGCAGTAAGACTGCACTCAGTTTTTTCACACATGCTTCTCCAGTTTGGCTTTCTTTTTGTAAAATAAATTATGACGGTGTAATATGTTGTACATTGTTGTTCATCTGAGGTTGCATTTCCCCACTTTTAAGAACTGCTAAGGGCCAGATGATTTTTACTATATCCTGCTATATAAAACCACAGAACTCCAAGAGGATATACTTTTTCACATGACTATATTATGGAATGTTTCTGAAGTAAGTTCAATTTTTATTCAAATAAATGCATTTCTAAGAAGCAGAGAGCACTAAGAGTTGTTTTTAGATTTAATTCTTCATGTAAATTATAGGAGGGATTAGTTAAGAGATTAGGGTAGAATGATTTAATCACTGTCCTTTAACAGATTGTGGTTCATGGGTAATAGAAAAACTGCCACTTCTACCCTCTAGCATCTGTGGCCAAAGTTGGTCACTTTATTCCATGTAACAAACCTAATATAGGTAGTCCTCAGTTTATGATTGTAATTGAGTCTGGAATTAGCTTTGCAAGTAAATGCCGTTGTTAAACAGGCTACCATTTAACCAGGCCTGATTTTACATTTTTTTGTGGTGACCAGTAAGCAAACCTATATCCAATGAGCATTTTTGGCTAGAAACCAAAAGTAAAAACTGGAAAATGGCAAAAAAGTAAAATGATCATATGACTGGGGCGTTGCAAATGGCTGTAAAAGTGAGCCAATTGTCAAGTGCCCAAAGTGCAAACATATGACCATGGGAGAGTATGTAACCATCATAACTTCAAAATCGGATAGTAAGTACTTTTCGTGCAGCCTTTCCTTTCATTGTAAATAAGGACTTTGCTTTTAAGATATTGGTCCATAATGCAGAATTGCTAGTTGGTCCAATACAGTTTTAGATGTTCCATTATTGGGAACATTTTACATAATATTGAGCACCTATTTAAAAAGCATTGAAACATTCCATTTAAGATAAGCTTCATTTAATTAGGAATTGTATAGTTGTATTAGATTATAAATATTAATAAAAAAGATAGATATTGTACAGTATATAACATTCTTGCCAGAGCTGCTGCTTACCGAGCAGTTCAAAAGCATGCAAACACAAGTAGATAAATAGGTACCACTTCACTGGGAAGGTAACAGTGTTCCCTGCATATGCTGGTCCTATGGCCACGGAAGCATCTCCAGACAACGCTGGCTCTCTCAGATAAGAAACACATGACCATTACCTCCTAGAGTCGGACCCGACTGGACAAAATAAACCTTTACCATTATATTTAATTGCATAGTTAGATCATGATTGAGTGTGAGTTTCATTGTGGTTTATTCATTAAGGCACTACATTTATTCAATATACTGAATATATAAATATATCCTTTATTTCCAAAACGGTTTTGGAATGTACACATATACTTTAAGCAGACTAAAAAGTAGGTGCCACAAGCAGCTTTTGTCTTCTCCCCCCCCCCCCAATCCTCCAATACAGTGGCAGAGAGCATTCTGGGAACTATAACAATAAGTAGGAAATAATCCATAATTAATAGGTGTGCTACACCCCCAGGAACTATTTTGTAACATCCATGGAATGTTAATTTTTTAAATACCTACAGATCTGAAACTTTGATGAACATTGGAGTAAAATATTTTTGGCTGGAATTGAATATCATGCTAAGCTAAAACCAAACATGGTATATTATGGTATATAGCATGTTCTGTCAATTCAGGTGCTGTAATATTCTTTCAGTGAACTTATATGTTTTTATTTATGCACTTCCTAAGTACAGTAACTTAATTCATATCAGAAAAGCTAAAAATTCACATTTTGATTTAACGATAAAATTAAGATTCAAAATTAGTCATTAAATTATGCAGTGTCTCATATAACTGTAAATAGATGCTTTGTGAATTCATTGTAGAATGAAGACTGTTGGCCTATAGGGTCAAAGATCAGAGTGGTTTCATTTTTTTCTCAGGCTTAAAAAGTATTAAGAGGTATAGTTTTTCATGATCTAGCCTAAACCCTTCATTATTTTAGATTTATTAACATTTTCATCATCTGAATCCACAGAAAAGTATATCTCAAAGTTCCATCAAAATCTCAATAACGACCACCCCATCATCCATAGATTTGATCTATATTCAAAAAAGTTCTCCATAAAACTATTCTATGGATGTATAAGTCTGCTTCAGAAAAATTAGCAGCACAATTGAGACTCTTGAACATCAGATTTCAACCATCTACAATCTGAACAAACAAACAGGAGTATTTGACATACTACTATTACTTGTTATGTTTCACATATAAATTTCATCTGCGTAACCTATTTTTCCCTCCCACCACTTCATCCTAATTTAAGTTCCACATCAGTTTAGCTACTTCATGCATCAATATAAGCTCTACATCAGTGATGGTGAACTTTTTTGGCACTGAGTGCCCAAACTGGAACACACATGTGTGTCAGAGCGCTAGAAACCTGAACACCAACTGGCTGGTGCGCATGTGCATGCTGGAAACCAGAAGAGCAGCTGGTGATGGCGCGCATGCTCACAGAGGACTCTGCATGCCACCTAGACTAACGCTGCGGCCAGCTTGGCTTGGCCAACTCACCATTAACAAGTCACCACTGCCAAGTTGCGACAGGACAACTCCACTTGGCCAACTCAAATTGTCCATGGGACAACTTGCCACAGATGGCTGCAGTAGTGGTGGGTTGTGGGCGGTATGCCCCGGTACGGGTGTACAGGTGCTTGCTGGGAGCTTCGGTGCTTCGAAGGGCCCACCCGCCCGCCCGTGTTCCTGAGCTATATTTGACCCAACCAGGCCATCA